AATATGTTCATTAAAATATTGAGAAGAGGTCACAAAAGTACTACCTGAAACCTTCTTTGTGATATCAAAAAATATTTTCAAAAAATTAACAAAGCATTTTGCATTATCCCAATCCTCTTTATTAGGAATACCATCTTTCATCAGCACAAAATCAGCACACTTCTCACTCAATCTCTTAAATGTCTTTTGAAACTTCAATGCACTTTCAAGCATAATATATGTGGAATTCCACCTAGTGGAAACATCCAACTGAACAATTGATTTTTCTTGTAACCTAACTTCTTTAATGCAAGTTTTAAACCTATCCATACGATCTGGAGATGCACGAACATATCTAACAACATTCCTGATCTTACTAATTGAAGAATGATAGTCTTCTAGTCCATCTTGGACCACAAGATTCAGAATATGTGCACAACAGCGAACATGCATATGTTCCCCTTTCAATGGATGAGAATTCCAATCGTTCATTGTATTTTTCAAGTAAGTTATAGCAACATCGTTAGAATTAGCATTATCAACCGTAATGGTGAAAACATTACCTATTAGCCATTCCTCCAAACATTTTTCAATTTTTTTGCCGATGGTTACTCCTTTGTGATTCACAATTGGACAAAAATTCAAAATCCTTTTATGGATTTTCCAATGATGATCAATGAAATGTGCAGTGAGACAAAGATAACTCAAATTTTGCACAGGTGTCCAACAATCAGTTGTAAGACAAACACATTGATTTGATTTATTTAGCACACTTTTTAACTTATGTTTCTCACTCGTGTATAAATCCCAACAATCTCTAGCAATTGTAATCCTTTTAGGAATTGAGAGTTTAGGTTGCACAACACTCATAAAATGAAGAAACCCCTCTCCCTCAACAAACTTAAAAGGCAACTCATCAATAATAATCATCCTAGCTAAAGCTTTCCTACATGCCTCAGCATCAAAATGAACACCAGTGAGAACACTACCAGATCCATTCCTATCTTCTTTTTTCAATTGTTGAAGAACAAGTGTCTGTTGAGTGGGATCAAGAGACTCTTTTGGAAACTTCTTACACTGATGCAACAAATGGTGTTTCAAATTACTAGTGCCATTTCTTTGTGAATCAGCAACATATGTTACATCACATCAATTACACTTAGCTCTTGATCCTATTTTTGTAAAATGTTCCCAAGTCCAAGATCTAGGTTTAATAGGTTTTCTGTTACCTGAATCTCCAGCTACAACATTAGGATCATTGGATGTGACCAATTTTGAAGCTTCTCCAATCTTTCTTTTCTTATTAGCATTTCTTCATCATTGTTTGTTTCATTACTTTGTACCAATGGAGGTGGAGCTTCAGTTGTTTCACCCTATAAAATACACATGAAAAAATAAATTTTTGAACATCAACTATAATATTACACCATTGTAACAGTAACCAACATTTCTAAAGGTAAAAATCTCTACTTAAAATTAATTTTTGATACCTGAATAAGGTTGTTAACAATATCAGATTGAGTAATAGGACCAGTTTGGCTCATTCCTGTAAAAATAGATCAAACTTAAAATTAGAACAAAGTATAAACAACTAGTTGTAGAAAAAGCTAATAAAAATATATTATGAAAAAATTATGAAACAAAATATGAAAAACTAACAAAGAACAGACCTTGAAGAAATTATGAAAAACTAACTAAAATTTGTTACTGTTATAACCAAGTAACCAACATGAAACGATTTCACATAAGAAAACTAATGAAAATAATTTTTAGTAAGCTACTTTTATAAAATTGAGAACATAAGTAAATTAATTTTAAATAAGCTTTCAACAACACAAATTAGAACAGCTTTACAAAAGGCTAAAAATTTGAATAGCTTTAGAAAATCTGATCGAACAAAACTACAAAGTACAAAAAAGATAAAATCAAACAAATTAAGAAGCTTGCTTACTGATAGTATAATTCAGAAAACTAATTGAGATGAATGTCTATTTAGCATTATTGAATTTCTTGCTTGCGATATTGAATTTCTTGCGGTTACAACAATGAATAGCATTCATTGTATTTAATTTTAAGATAATTTAGAATCTGAATAGGGAAATTATAGGAATGATTGAGATTCTCTAGAGAAATTAGTGCTGGCTAACATGATTAATTTGGGAGGATGGCTATAAATGATTCGATATTAATTTATTTTAAATAATAAATGGCAAGTAAATGGAAGTAATACCGGTTTGGTTTGGACCGGTTCGGTTCTCATGAAACCAACCGTAAACCGAACCGAACCGGTCGGTTATGCTACATGGTGATCCAAATACATCCAAAAAAATTCGGTTTTTTTTGGATTTCGGTTTTTAGATTTTTTTTGGATCGGATTGGATCTGAACACCCCTAGTTATTAGTCTATATTCCCACCCAACTTTTTTAAACTCTAAAAATGATAACAATAAATTTTTAAACTACCGTTTTTCAAACCTCTAATATTCACACCTCTTCTTTTATATGGAGTTATGTGGAGTCACATGTTCAACACAATCAACAATCATTGGTCATATGTTATTTGCTACTCGCGCTGAATATATTTCCATAATTGAAAGGATTAAGGAAGTCATATGACTAAAAAATATGATTGGGGAGTTAGGGAATTATTCAAGAACGTGTGAAAATAAATTAAAATAGTCAAAAATTCATTCACTTGATCAACCATCAAATTTATCAATGTGAGAACCAAATTAGTTCACCGACATTTATTTATACTTTATAAATAAATGACATGATAGATTCAACGGAAATTTTGATTCAAAAAATATCCTTAGAAGAAAATTCATCAAATATGTTGACCAAATCATTGTAAATATTAAGATTGAAGAATTAGTGGGACTTGATCAAACTTATTAAAAAATGATTCAAATTTTAGAGAGATTAGCATAGTGATTAATTGTTAAATTAACATCACTCTCAATTTTAAGTTAATGTGGAGAATTATTGTGAGATGTCTTAAAATCTTGAGTGATAAAAGAAAAAAAACATATTTTAGTACGGTCTGTTTTTGCCTTGTCTTGACAATTATAAATATGGTTATCTCCAATTTATTGTTAAGATGTGATGCACAGGGTAACAATTCTAGCGAGAAGAAAAAATAGAAATTATTTATAATAATTTTCACAACATTGCTACATGTGCAAACTTGAATGAGCTAAAAATATTTTCGAAAATATTGACAAATTAACATGTCACTCCTATATTATGTATGTTACTCTCCAAATTTTATTATTTTCAAAAATATTTCTTTCAATATTTATTTTAAATTTTTTACTTTTATAAAAAAAAATTATTATTGATCAAAGGAGATAAAAATTGAAATTTCCGGTACCGAGTTTTGTCGCATATAATTTTTTTTTGTACATTCTACAAATTTTCGATTGCCATTTGCAGAAAATTTTGAAATTTTCAATTGCGATTTATCGGAAATTTTAAAATTTACGTAAATTTTACAAAAGTCATTACACATACCGGAAATTTACCAAATTTCTGGTAGAAAACCTTTATCGAGAATATCGAATTTTCGGTGTACCAGAAATTTCAGTTATATTTGAAAATTTTGGTATGTCTGCAGATGAAATTTTATATTTTTGCAGTCCTGAATCGGCAACTTCAACTTCTACGGATTCATGTACTGATCTTACACGGTTCTTCATCACAGATACCATATGTTTTCTATTAATTAACACAATTTTTATTTTTATTTTTGTAAATTGACGAAGTATACTAATTATATGTTATTCTAATTAACAGATTTTTGAAATTATTGGGTTCAGGTAAAGTTGAAACTCGATTGAAACTCGATTGTCCACTGCCTCCCGTCACTAAACATTGGAGGGAAAATTGTTCTAATGATGCAAAAGCATGAGAATCAGCATATGCGAGTCATTTCAGGCATTGGAAAGAATTGTCTAAGCCGTGATTGTAATTTTTTTTAATGTAAATATGTATGACATTTATTCTATTTATATATTAAGTCGGTTCCCTATTTTATGGTGTATTTTATTTAAGTAATAGTTTTAAAAAAAACTAAAAAAAAAGTTAATTCTCAGTTCTATCAGACATTTGAAATTTCCGATATTTCTCACACCGGAAATTTCAAATTTCCAATTTTTTTTATAATGATGAAAAATAACGGAAATTTGAAATATCTGATACCAGAAATTTCAAATTTATAGTTACGTTCATATAACACGCTAAAAACTTAAAAATTTAACAAAATTTCTAGTAATTGCATGAAATTTATGATATGGAACCAGAAAATTCAAAAATTCCAATATATTTCAAAGACAATTTCGTAAATAGGCCATGTCTGAGGAGTGGCAAGTTAATTTCTCGATGATATTAAATAGAAAGATTAAAAATCTTAGAGCCAAAATCCAACTTTATGGTGACTTGTGGCTATTAGAATGAATCACTATCTAAACAAAATTGGTGTTGAAAACCACATTTTTTTCAACTTAATACAACCAACTTAAATCTTGAATTACTTGAGGTTTTCATACAATAATAAACTTATAATGTTGCTAAAACATATTTTTATTGACAATGTGTGAATGTGTCTTACCATTTATAACAAGATTTGGTTCACAACTAAAAAAACCTTCCAATTCATGGCAGTTTTGCCCTGTGTTGCTTAAGAACAGGCCACGATAATAGATTGTTTCCTTGCAAGTTTAGAAATCACAATATAAAGATACCATACCGTTGCCCTCATTGTAGCAAATATACCAAAATGGTCTCAAGACAAAAAATCACACAACATAAACCATCCAATTTTGCATGGAGGGTGTGAGCATCTTTAGGTTATAAACAATGATCACAAACCATGCAAAAATTCATACCCTTAAAAGTATGATTCGATTCAAAGCGCCTAAAATGTGGTGTACTACACACGACTAGTTAACATACTTTTTAGTACTTGGTATCTTTAGAGAAGTATGCATATAAACTCATACATCTATAGATGGTCATGTTCTTTATCCAAGATCAGGCACAGTGAAATGCTCATCATCATCGTCTTCACGGTGGACTTCAATCCTAGGTTTTTTGTAAGACATATAAGATTTAGGAGCTTTATATGAGGCAACATTGCTAGCATGTGTTAATGGAAGTTGAGGAACTTCAGCCGCTGCTAAACCTTCATGAGGAAACTGTTCGTTGAAAAGACCTGCGTCTGATAACCACTCAAGCTCTCCAAATTCCATAGATTGCTTCTGAAACGAGAGAAAGGAGAAAAGTTCTTAATATTAAAACAATGTAAAGAAGGATTGATAAAATTATACGACTGTTAGCAAATCATAAAGGCGGCAAAAATAAAAATTTCCTTACCGTTGCCCTCAAAGAAATACTATGCAATTCTAGTTCAAACTTGTAAGTATTGAATCAAGACCTTAAAATTTCATATAAACATGAATCACATGGCAGAATCAGTAAAGTGAACATCAGAACATCGTTACCGTAACTGTTCTAGATTCTATCAGCAAAAGCACTACAAATTCCTAGCACATATAACTTCAAGTTGCAACTACAATAGTGAAATGAAGTTTTCTTACTTTGTCTGAAGAGTCAAAGTCTGTAAATTCCAGTAAGTCATCAACAGCCCAAGAGGAATCAAAACTAGGCACTAGCTGTGCAGGAACTTCAATAGGAATTTGTTTTGTATCTTGATTAGATGGTTCAATTTGGCTTTTATCATTACTTTTAGTGCAACTAGAACCCAAAGCGACACGGATACCTGTCGCGAGAAAGCGCTGGTGGTTCGCAGAAAGACTACCAGCTACATGAATTGGTTCATCACAGTCCTTACAGAACAGTGCTCTATCTTCAACACAAAATATGAAAGCTGGCTTATCCTATAGTTACATCAAGAACAGCATAGTTAGAAAAATCATCCATGTTCAACAAATATTTCATACACATGTTCAACAAATATCATACACATGTTCAACAAATATCATCCATGTTCAATAAAATATTTCATACACATGTGACCAATCAAAATCATTGCATAGTATCATATGGGGAATGAATTAGGTGACTTTGAGTTTCCATGACTTTGGTAACTTTAGTTAGATTTGAGGAGAGAGAAAAGAAAAAATTAGAGGGAAAAAAGACGAGGGAGAGTGATATAGGAGAAAGATAGAGAGGACTTTCCCTTCCTAAAGTCACCCAAACCTAACCCTATCATATGTTAGTTGTAAAATATCTTCATAAATCTACATGATCAGATAAACCCTAATTGAAAAATCACATTTTCCCTCTTTAAACCCTAATATTAAATCCTATAAATTTCATTACTTTATCAAAATCAAAAAAACAAAATCATACTTGGCAGATATCACATTTGGGAAGCTTATTAGAAAGAGATTGAAGGAGAAGCCTTTGATGCTTGCTAGCAAGTTTGTTAGCAGCATGAACTTCAACATCACATTTAGCACACAAAGCAGCTTCATCAGCACAACAAATCACAGTAGCAGGAGCTTTCTCACAGACATCACACTGAATTTTCATCTTCTCTGATCCCTCACACCTTCAAAGATCCAACAACAACTCTACTAATTCAAGATTATTAACTTTTTGAAAGCCAAAAAATGGGAAAAACGTTGATGGGTGGGTGAAGAGGTGAATGATGTGACAGTGTGGTAGCTAGATGAATGTGTTTTGGACCGTGGAAAAGGAAAATGAAGATAGGGATTTGAATTTACGTGTGAAAAACAGCTATAAAGTGGGGTAGGTTTGGGGTTTGTGTGGCTGTGGAGAAACCAAGTTGTCTGTTGATATTTTATGTGCGTGGTCCTAGACATTGAAGAATCATGTGCTTTGTCAAGTGGGAACAAGTATCAAAATTAGGACAAGTACCAATTTCAAGGTCATGCTTTATGGGAAGGTTTTATTTTTTAGGTTCCTTTGCCGTTATGAAGGAGGGCCAACCACCATTCTTTTCATTTTCACATTAGATTTTGGTACTATGCTCCCACATAGATTAGATATTAGTCTAGTTGGTAAAGATTTTATTTAGATCCACTATAGATGAGAAGCCACATTTTATCTACTATATGATTAGGTGAAACATTATAATTATTGAACTCTTAATATGGAGAGTTGATGAATAATCATCAACCATAATCTAGAAAGAGAAGGTGTGGGTGATAATTTGATAGATATTAGATTTTCTTTAAATATTATTTGATTCGAATCATCTTGTCTAAAATTGAAGGCTGAAAATTCATGTTACTTGAAATTGTTAAAATTGAAATTGAATATTTATAATCATTAGACAAGAGATTGATTAATGGTTGAGATTCTTTATTGTGTCAATTGTGTGGATTCAGAACTACATCAAATCTAGATATTGTGATGAGAATGTTGTTGAGTTTGTCATTAATTTTAATCAAAATTAAGTAACTAACCTAACTTGTATAGTACATATAACTGTGCATGTATGAAAGTACAGAAGAATTTAATACTTAAAAATACAAAACAAATATATTTGAATACCATTAGTAATTTTCTAAATCAGTATTTGAATATTATATATGGTGTTTGATTACCGTGAAGCCAATTTTACTTTGAGCAATAATCGAATATCAATATATGGTATTAGAATACCATCACCAATTTGGTTAAAATTTGACTTTTTGATGAATGGATCTATACATTTGAATGTATCATGTTTCAGAAGATTATAGATGAAGTTTGATACATATTTTTGAATATTAAATGTGATATAATTTGAATTGTAATATACCTTTAATCATGATTATTTAATTGTTTCTTCCACTTGGTTATCTTAATCATTGATAAACCTTTGACATCCCATTTTTATTATTTATCTTCTTTGATAAGTTTTTGTCGTCATCAAAACTAAACCAAGATAGATGATGAACATCTTCTTCACAATCATCCCCCTTTTTTATAATGATAAAATACTGATGGAAAGTTTTTGTTTGACACTTGATGTTTCCTCTATCTTGTATATCTCCCCCCTTATTTTGTAATTCATGCTTTGTCTATGCTATCCTGAAACTTAACAAAAACAATTATCTTTTCTCCCCCTTTTTGACATTATAAAATAAGAGTAAAAACCAAAGTAAAGTAATATAGGAAAAAGATACATCGTATATTAAAGTACTTATCTTCTTCACAATGATTTCATGTCAATATTGATATCAGTGTTGATACTCTTCTAAAGTGATTATGTTGATACTAATGATATGCTCTTTGAAAATGTCAATCTTTTCAATTTATCTTCAACCAAATGAAACTTTAATATTACCATATCATATGATCCTATTGTATCTTGAACAACCAATCTTAATTTTACAATTTTAGCATCTGGTCTCCAAGAACACCTACAGAATAAAATTAAAAGTTCTTTCTAGGTATCCAATATTCTTTGGATCCTATTAGGTTAGTTCATTTCTCAACTCATACATATTTTCCACTAAAAATACCAAAATTTCTTATATAACAAACATTAGGAGTATGGTGTTTTGTATTGCAATAAAAACATGGAGACTTAAAAAAAATCTTTACAAATATAAGAATTATTTTTAACATGGGACTCCTTAGGATAAATTACTACTTGCACTTTCTTTGATTCCTCATTTTGAATTTATTACTAGCCTTAACAAAGATAGTTTGGTTTGAACTTGATTTATCAAATTTAGAGTATCCAAGTCCATATTTATCGTTAGAGTAACTTTTTTTTTTACCATATTTTATAAACCAAATTGTTCTCTGATGTCGAACAATTAGTCATATGTAAACAATAGCATTTTTAAAAAAATGCAAAGCTTATGTCTGTCTTGAAATTTTAAAAATGCATTTTTAGTAAACAAACATAATTTTGTAAGAATATAAATTCAACTCAGGATTTATAGTAAACCTTACGGGAGTCAGGATACCTTTTGTAACAGTATGCTTTCGAACTAACTCATGCTTCAGTTAGGACTTTTAAGGGTTGTAACGTGGTCTGGTTCACAGTTTAAGAAACAAAGAATAAATGCTCAAAGTTTATTTGTATTCAACCCATTCTTCGTGATTTTTTTCAGTCATATACTCAGTTAATTGTGTGTTTAGATCCCAATTGAGTCTGGAATCTTTGCCCTGATATTTCGGTGATGGTTCAGATATCAAAAGTTTATTTGAGAAGGCAATCATTTTTTGTAACATTTTTTCTTTTGTTGAGGATTTGTAGCGACCTCTTTTTTATTATTTTTATTTTATTATCCCTATCTTTTTCCTTAACTTTTTCTTTTGTGATTACAGTCAGCGGGATGCCCTAGTTTTTTTCTTAAGTCTCCTTCATAGATTTTGACTTACCGGACTTTTCTTTTGAAAAATAATGACTGCCTGTTTTAGTGATTACGAGGAACCATCACTGTCTTTTGATTTAGAAGATCATCTTCGACACTATTCGTCGTGTATAAAGGTAGAGCTTGCGATTAAATGCACCGTTGAATTAACTGAGAAACTACCATGCCCCAAGTTATGATTAGAGGTTTCAATTTGTGTGAAAAATAAAACTCCTACTTCTTATGCTCAAAAGGGTTGACTATGGATTATCTTCCTTATAACTCCATTGTTTAGTATTTGAAACAAAGTCCGTACATCATCAGCCAGGTCTGTTCAAAAGCATATTGTATGAGATTATGGTATCTTTTTCTTCATCCTCCCTCCAAAGGCTTATAGCTTTTTATTAAGAGTTGAATATCACAAAAAGGAAGTAAAAGTATGGTTTCAGCATAGTGAAAACGAATGGATTAATTCAAGACAAACGCATGCAATGCATTAATGGAATAATAAAGTTTGACATAAGTGTTCAAACAATCAAAAGAAATTACAATTTGAAAATTCTAATGAACAAAAAGCCTTTCCATCTGAACTTTTCACTTCAGATGGTGTACCTTTGAGGGATGACAGAAGAATCTAGTCTAGTCGTCTTGTGTGAACTCTAGCACTCCCTCGTCGATCAAGTTTTGAATATTTTTTTCAATACCCAGCAGTCATTCGTATCATGTCTAGGATTATTAGAATGGTATGCACACCTCGCGTTCGGATTATACTGAGGAGAGGAGGTGTTGGGATTCTGAGGAGGATCCTTTAACATAGTCAACTCCATCCTCAACATGTATTACAATGCTTGAGCCAAGGATATATTGATTTTGGTGAATTTCCTTTTGGGTGTGTCCTGTTTACGCTGGTTGCCATGTCGTTATTGTTGCACTGGTGTTGGATTGGAGATTCGCACTGCCTCCATAGATTGGTTGAGATCACTCTTATTACGACCCTTTTGGTCGTACACAGTACTGGACTCCTTCTTTCCGTTGTATGATCTCTTCTGAGTACTTGAAGATGCAGTCCCCTGAATTTCACTGCTCCTGAGTTTATTTTCAATATGTTCCCGCATGAACATGTCACCCAATTCCCTGTCTTCCAAGAGATATTGATCATTGATTAGACCCCAAATTCTAACAGTTTGTGCCATATGATTGTATCTATCTTGATGAGGCTTGCTTATGAGAATCCTTAACTCTTCTTGTTCCTGAGCTAAATTTTGGATAAGAGACATATGACCCATCATCTGGAATCTCATCGTCGCCATCTCAGCTTGCAATTGTTCCAACTGGTCATCCTTGTTATCTTCAGGGTTTTTCTTGGCCATGTTCCCATCGAGGAGTGTTTTCAATTCTTCTTGCCCCTTGGATAGATTCAAGAACATTTCCTTGAATTGAGCATCTTGAGTTTGGAGATCTATATCGTTCTTCTCGGGAGCCGTCTTCCTTGCTGAAGTAAACAGCGAGAAAATGAGAAACATGTCTTGAGAATACCTGTTATGTAATGACATGCATGCAATGTTTTCAAGGATATCGCGGGATAAACACAAGAAGATGTTTGAATTTTTATTGCAACTTTGATTGGAGAACTTTGTATCATTGAATGTCCTTCTACGAGAATCAAGCTCACTATGTCGAGTGGGTCATAGCCTCTAACTCAAGACATTATGCTTTGACAGCATTGGCTAGAGGAAAATAAATCCTCTTGCCCCTTGCTAGATGTATGGTTCATCATAACCTGCATCACATGCCCTTTGATATCCTTGAAATGGTTAATGAAAATGCTATAGCAAGATGTCATGATGTGTATGTTATGCACCAAACAAAAGTGCAAGGTGAGGTAAACAAGTAAGTCTTGCAAGAAGTCCAGGTTATTGGATAATGAATTCCTGCAAGGAATTTAGGTTGTTAGATAATGAATACAAATAAGTCCTGTAAGGAGTTCAAGTTGTTAGATAGTGAATGCAAACATGTCACACAAGTAGCCTTAGGTTCAGACTTGCATGGAGTTTGTAGGTAAGTACCCTCTTGAAGTTTAGTTGGTTCAACCTGTCCTAAAAGAAGTAATTGGGTTCTAAGGAATCTCAATGTCACTGATCTTTCTTCATCGGGCATTGTTTCAGCTCAAGCGATCTTTTCTCGCGGCCGATACCGAAATTCTGATCTCAATTAGTGCAGTATCGAGTATCAACCAATCCTTAGTTTTGCACCAAAACCGGCTATCTCACTACTTTCTAATGGCCAAGTTTGTTCAACTAAGGTTCTAAGGTCAGTTAGTGTTTCATGACACCACACAGCGACCATGTATTCTCCTTTATTCAAAACAAAGGATAACGGTACTATTGTACCCCAAAATTTCCCTCCCATTTTTCATACAAGATACAATCCTAGGGTTTCTCGAATATTCAAGTTGGCTCAGAAATCGATCAGACAGATTCTCTTCCGAGGCAGTAAAATCAGCAATT